CTCTCAATACAACTGGGGCTGAAGCGCATTATGGTACACAATTTGTGTACCAATGTTAAAAAAATTATTTTATCTAAAATATCGGATATCAGAAGCTCATCTTTTCCCGGTAAGTTTACATCATCAATGTTGATTTAAATTGACCAATAATTCGTGTTTTCGATGTCGAAGATTTTGGAGGATTTTGAGTTACGGACTTAGGTCCTTTAATTAGCACTAATTAGTGACCGTAATTAAAATTTAGAGTCCATAACTAAAACAAAGCCTAAAAGCTAGCTAACCAAGTCATGAAACCAAAAATATCACTTAAGAGCGACAAAAGTTGAACAAACCTTGCTTAAGACCCGTTCAAAGGTGACAAAGGTCAAAGGTCACTAATCAATGACCATAATTAAAATTTAATGTCCATAACTGAAACAAAGCCTAAAAGCTAGCTAACTAAGTCAGGAAACCAAAAATATCACTTAAGAGCGACAAAAGTTGAACAAACCTTGCTTAAGAGTGGTTCAAAGGTGACAAGGGTCAAAGGACAAATTTTAGGTCACATAACGACGTTTGAGTGTATTTGATCAAATTGTCTTGTCCGGGATTATTTTTCTTTCTAACACCATTTCTATGGGTTTCACTGCAAAAAATGACTGCTTTAGAGCATAAAATGCTGTACTAATGCTACTTAAGAGCTAATTAATTAGCACTTATTTGTGACCATAATTAAAATTTAGAGTCCATAGCTGAAACAAAAAGCTAGCTAACCAAGTCAGGAAGCCAACAATATCACTTAAGAGCAAAAAAAGTTGAACAAACTTGGCGTAAGACTGGTGACAAAGGTCATATTTACCCAATAACTCCAAAATAACAACCAATAACTTCAAAAATATTGACTGGAAACACAAAATAACAATTTAGTATGAGTTTAAGAAGCGTGACTGGTTTTTGTCCAAATCGGAGGTTCATGGGAGATAACTCGTGTATGTTATTTTTGTTGACAAGAAACTTATGTATACTTTCGTTGCAATTCGTTGTAATGTATTGTAATTAGAGATTGATTAATAGTTTATTAAAACAGTAATTATATGCATGAAACATATTATGGTATATATAGTGCAATAAACAATTTAATATTATAGCTATATTTATTTATTTATACTTGCAAATTGTGTCGATGTCACTTTCTGTCATCAACATCGTAACTTGTTTTGAAATAAATAAATGAAATCAATTTAAATAAGTTCCGCTGACAATTAATTGTCTTTGTTCAGAGTATTCTCATGTTATGATAGTTTATTATGTTGTGATTGTATGTGATTTGTCACTTTATACAATGACAATATTTACATTTAATATGATTTGTAAATCCGATATTTTGACCATCAAAGGGAGATTACTCGACATCTGAATCTGAATCTGTACTTCGCAGAGTTTGTTACAGCATGTACGCGACGGGAGAGTGAGTGCGTTAGGTTCTTGATAGAGCTGATTTAAAGCTCTCTTTTGATGGACCGCGCACTATGCTATCATCCAGGTGGTTCCAATCAATAATTGTCTTTGGGAAGAATGAGTGTTTATAAAGATCAGTTTTGCATACCACTGTTTGAATTGTTTGTTACATGGTTTTCAACTATGTTTTTAACTATAAAGTCAGAATTCTGTTTTTCTTTAATTCGGCGTTTGGGTTTGGCGGGAGTTAAATAGTCATGACAATTGAAAGCTGGGACCAGCCCCTCAACCACCTTGTAGACGAAAGTGAGGCGGATCATCTTCCGTCTGTCTTGAAAGGATGGGAGCTCTAAGTCCTTTAGCATCCTTGTGACGCAGCCTTCATCTTTAGATTTGTAATCGCCGGAAACAAACCTTGCAGCTTGGCGTTGGACTCTCTCAAGTCTGTTTATATCCTTTTGTAAGTAGGGGTCCCAGACAACTGAACTGTACTCCAGTACATGTTTGTGGACAGTACTTGAGGTTGCGCTTAAGGAATCCCACTGAGGAGTTCGCCTTCTTTATTAGCCTGATAATGTGGGTGTCCCACTTTAGGTCTTCAGAGAGTGTAACTCCAAGGTACGGGTTTTCTTTTACTTGCTGAAGTATGACATTGTTTAGAGTATAGAAGTTAGTAGACTTACTATTGATGCTCATGATATAGTATTTCTTTGCATTGAATCTCATTCCCCAGGTATTGGCCCAGTCTTCAAGAGCTGAGAGGTCATTTTGAAGGGTTTGATGGTCCTGTCGAGATTTGATGGTGCGGTAGAGCAGACAGTCATCTGCAAAGAGTCGGACTTGTGATTTCACGGTTTCCGGAAGGTCATTTATGTGGCACAGAAAGAGCAGCGGGCCGAGTACCGTTCCCTGGGGGACTCTTGAGTCAACTGTTACCGGGTCTGAGAATTCTCCTTCAATGACTACTTGCATGTGTCTAGTGGTCAGAAACTGTCTTAACCAGTCGTTTAGAGGGCCATCTACTCCATAAGTTCTAATTTTGTGGAGAAGTTTCTCGTGAGGGACGGTGTCGAAGGCCTTCGAGAAATCTAGGATAACCATGTCGATTTGGTTGTTGGTGTCGTGTTTCTGGATGTGTCTCACAGGAGTATCCCGAGCGGAAACCGTGCTGAAGACAGGTCAGTATCTTGTTCCTTTCAAGATGTGTAAGGATGTGCCGGCAAATGATGTGTTCTAATAGCTTGCAAGTCACGCCATTCAGGGAAACAGGTCGATAGTTTTCGGGTAGGTGGACGTCCCCTTTCTTAAAGACTGGTGCAATGTTGGCATTACTCCAGTCTGGTGGGAGTTGACCGGTGTTGATTGATAGTTGGAATATCTCACGGAGGCCAGGAGCAAGTTGGCTACTACAGGTCCCCAGAATAGTGTTGGCTATTTTGTCTGGTCCAGTCGCCTTCCGCTCATTCATGTTCTTCAATAGGTTTTCGACTCCTTTGGTAGTGATGTTAAGGGAGGGGATCGATGTTATGACTGGTTTCTGTGATTTAGGTAAAGCCGGAGTGTCCGTTACATTGGTGAACACAGATTTGAACTGGTTTACTAGAATTAAGTTGTGCTTTATCCTTGCTGCCACTGACTAAGTTACCCATTTTCTTGAGGGGTGCTATACCAATACTGTCTTGTCGTTTGGATTTGATATACCGCCAGAATGGTTTGGTGTTGTTGTCGTCAAGCCCTTGCTGGATAGTACTATTGATGTGGTTGATCTCTGCTAGCTTGTCAACATGTGTGGAGAAAATCTCGTAACTCGTCAAATTTGAGATGTTTTAAAACAATTTTGTGTAGAACCTATTTGTAATTCATCAAAAAGCCTCTTTTATCAGCATTTCAGTCCTAATTTTAACGTACAATATTATTTGACCAAATCCATACACCGGAATTCACTTTCGAGATATCAGAATTCGCCCGTACAATCTTCCTATTTACTTATATTTCCATTAATATTAATGTTGAATTTAAAACACATAAATTCACCGGAATTCACATTGAAAACACATAAACACCGGAATTCACATTGAAAACATATAAACACCTGAATTCACTTTCAACATATCTGAATTCGCACTGAAGACCTTCGTATTTACTAATATTTTACATTAATAATAAATTACTTTAAATCACCGGGATTCACTTTGAAAACATATAAACATCGGAATTCACTTTCAACTTATCGGAAATCGCACTTAAGACCTTCGTATTTACTAATATTTTACATTAATAATGAATTACTTTTAAACACCGAAAATCACCGGAATTCAAATTGTAAACAAATAAACACCGGAATTCACTTTCAAATATCGGAATTCGCACTTCAGAACTTCGTACTCGATCACAAATATTTTACAATAATAATAAATTACTTTAAAACACCGGAATTCACTTACAAAATATCTGAATTCGCACTTTAGACCTTCGTATTTACTAATATTTTACATTAATAAAAAAATTACTTTAAAACACTGGAATTCACGTTGAGAAAATCGGAATTCGCCGCAAGACAATTGTATTTACTTATATTTTGCATTAATATTAATACTAGAATGTATCTGCTGTAAAACGATATTTCCAGATGTCAAACTCGGGGAAACGCAATAAAAACACAGCAGTAATCCATGTAAAATGTCAAACCGAACATTCCTCGAATGTAGATGAGCTAAGTTTATTCGAAAATTAACTTAGTAATAATCACCCTAATAATTATAAAATCTCATCAATAATGGTTTGGATGTTTTCATAGATAATCCGTTGTAGCATGAAGCAGTCCATGATTAAATAAGCTTTCGAAATATTATTAGTAAAAGTTGGCACAATCATATTAAAGGGGTGCGCTCTCATTCTGAATAGGTTGCCAACGAACAGGTTGCCACCCCCTCCCCTGCAGTGACACATGAATGTTGTGACCAATAACCACTTTCCTGTCTTAAGGCCTTTGAAAACAGTATTCCTCATTATTAATTTGTCCCAACTAATCATGGTTCATGAATGCGTGTTCTCGATATGTTGACACTTCTACGATGGTGGGTGACTACGAGTCATGAGTGAAATAATGTTATTTCGTTTAATCTGTTATACTAATATAGAGAAAATACAATTTACATTTTATGGATATAACTTTTATGGATATAACTGTTACAACAAATAACACATCTACACAAATTTTTAAGTTGACCTCATTTCAATCAAAGTAAATACATGTACCCGTAAGTATTGTTTATATTCGCGTTACGTTTGGTAGTGGAACCGTGGCACTGACATATTGTACATCGTTGACTTCAGGGTTAGGCTTGTTGTCTACCAAAGTTAGGTTAACATCTTCCACTACACTGCAAAGTCAGTAACATCATCAAGCTATGTAAATAGCCATCAAATTTCAATTATCTTGTATATTTATTACTATTATTTTGTATTTTAATGTTTGTATTTGTATACTATGGAGAGGGGGTCCATAGGCTAAGCCTGTTCCCCAATCCAAAATTTTCTGAATAAAATATTGTTTATAAAAAAAAGCTAACCTTTGCTAAAAGGTTAATGTTAATAACATCCACCAATTAGTCTATACACTAAACACAAGACCTGCAGCATTCAATCTCTGTGATCTGTAAATAATTAATAAAAAAACATATGAACTTACTTCAAATTTACACACTATAACTTATTACATAAACTTTATGTAGATAAGGAAAGTGAATTTTGAGATGCACTCCAATGACAAGTAGTTGAATTACATAAAAATTTACAAAAATAAGAACTGTTAATGAAAATAATAAACTGATTTACCTCAAGATAGATAATTGGAAATATTTTCTATACTTTTCTTCTGAAAAATGAAAGGGCGTAGTTTTATTATAAAACAAGGAACATGTACTACAAAAACCTATAATTATTAATGTACCCCCTCGCCAACACGTACATTTGGAATTCATTTAATATAGTTAACTAAAGAAAATGTTAAAATCACAATTAATTATGATACCACAATTACAGGCTGGTAAAATCAACACAAAGTTCATACATTAGATTATAATAACCAGAATCGACTTTAAACTGATGTCTCTCACATATCAATGCCATAACTCTTGCAGTAATCATCAGATCTCGCTGAAAATCAATAGGCGTCTTGTCTCATGACCTTAAACACTGTGTATAAATTTAAAGTCAATTGGATTTTAACTTAGCCTCTAGAGCGTTCACAAGATTTTTCAAAGTGATCAAGGGCCATAACTCTGGTAGTAATTATCGGATATCGTTGAAAATCATTAGGCTTCTTCGTCTCATGACCTTACACACTGTGTAACAATTTGGAGTCCATTGGATATTAACTTTAGCCTCTAGAGCGTTCACAAGATTTATCAAAGTGATCAAGGGCTATAACTCTGGCAGTAAATATCGGATATCGCTGAAAATCATTAGGCTTCTTCGTCTCATGACCTTAAACGCTGTGTATAAATTTAAAGTCAATTGGATATTAACTTTAGTCTCTAGAGCGTTCACAAGAAATTGTCGACGACGGACGTATAAAAATAAAACAAAGTTTAAAAGAATCAACTTAATTAACAAAAACAATAACAGAAAAGCACTTATTTTGGTGCCATCCCACGCATTGACTGGTATATAGAGCGTTTTGATCATTTGAAACTTTGAGTTTGACCTGAAACCCTATTAATTAATAAATAGGTAATATTAATAATACAATACTACTAGGCCTATTTATCAGTATTTAGAATATATATCATATGTAGGCCTACATACACTGTCATACAGTGCCTTTATTTACAAGTTACATCTGATTTATTAACTGATTATCAGACTTATCCATTTGTGTGTATCTCATTGATCATTCTCAGGCTCAAGTTATACTCCTGACAAGTCCACGAGTCACGATACTGTGACCCCCTGTTGGTTGCTGTTGTACTTACTTGTAGTTAAACTGTCACTACTACAACTTAAGGGGTATAAATAAAATGCTTGAAATGAAGTCGGACTAGGTAGATATCTAGGCCTAATTATAATGTAGACTTGTTTTCATATTGATTACCCGACGCCAAGACCACTTCTACTGTACTAGCACTTATTTCAATGTAGGCTACTTAGTTAGTAGTCTTACCCCAAAAGTTAGAAAAGACTTCGTCAGCAAAAAAAATTATTTACAATCGGTACATCTATGATTAAGATTTGATTTATGCAGTTTTTGTCAAATACTAGCCTACTATAAAGTAACAAACTTCATTTACATTACCCAGGTCAGAAAATCTCCTCAGAAAATAAAAGACAACTGTTTAGTGTTTGTAGCCCAATAAATATAAGAAGCTGACGCCGTTAAAAACAGTGTTAGCCTAAACATAAGAATATTGCGCCAAAAGCAAACCAGTTAAAAATATAATTTGCGGGTCACGGAAAGATAACTCTGTTTGGAAACATGGTTTGGTGTAGAGGAATAACCGAAGTTGGCCGAGTGAAATCTGCAGAGATATGCCGGGTTGCCGAGTGAAAAATAGAACACGACTCATTGAAGATCCAGTATTGTGCCTATCCACCATTATGGAAGATAACTGTTATACTCAAGCCAAGGAAAGTAAAATGAAAAATAAAATGAGTATTAATGAAGAACATTTATATAATATCAAGGTCGGCATTTACAAAGCACGTTGCACAGTCCCCTGAAATCCTATCTTACGAGACGTGTCTTACGGATAATTATGGTTTCAAATCGATTTTACTAGTACGAGAACGTAGCTAAAAACGTTGAGATATACTGATGTGTTTGTTTTTAGCTACGATTGGATGCCTTTAGTTCCAAGTGGCAAACTCAATTTCTTTATTAATGCATGTATCATCTTTAAAATAGATAAGTTTATGATATTATGATTAATTAAACTTACAGATACCAATGTAGTGGCACAACTGTCGCCTAACTCCAAATATTCGGGTTTAAATTAATGAAGCGTTGTTTTTGTCTGACATTTCACCGCCATCGAAATCCATTCATAGTTACTGTGCTTTCGATTGTCCTTTTGATTGGCTGTTATAAAAGCCTTATATTTAGCCCCGCCTTCCCCACATAACAATATGATGTTAATTTTACGTTACATTTACGTAAAAATGGTCAGTCAGTTTACCATCATTTTGCTCATCTTTTTAACGATAATTTTACGTCAGGAAATGACGTTAATCTAACGTAAACTTTACGTCATTTTTACGTTATATTTACGTCATTTTCTGACGTAAATCTAACGTAAACTTTACGTCATTTTCTGACGTAAATCTAACGTAAAATTTGCGTAAAGTTTACGTCATTTTCGTTAGATTTACGTCAGAAAATGACGTAAACTTTACGTTAGATTTACGTCAGAAAATGATGTAAATATAACGTAAAAATGACGTAAACTTTACGCTAGAATAACGTCATTTCCTGACGTTAAATTGTCGTTAAAAGGATGAGCAAAATGGTTGATATCTAACCGATCATTATAACGTAAATCTAACATTAAATAAACATCATTTACGGATGCAATTCTAAAGTCAAATTGTGATGAGCATTAAAACCTTCAAAATTATTCATTATTTGCGGCAGTAAATGGGAAGTACATTCAACCAATAATCAAATTTTCCTGACCCGTGGGTGAGGCTAAAAGTTGAGTGGTCCAACGTGTGTGCTTTAGATCATAAGGTCTGTCATTGAGTCAAGTGGTTTGTTTCCACACCCAACTTGAACATGGGTTTTCTCTGGGTCCTCCTACTACTAAAGATTCCTGGTGCGGATGAATTATTCAACTTGAATTGAATCACTTAGTCCCAAAGGACAGTTTATGTCTATTGGATGTTTTACCCCATTGCTCTCTATCTACCCATAACCAGTCAGAATTCTAAATGTATTGCACAGAAAAGTTAAAAATCTAGCAGAATTATATGACAAAATATACTACAAGTATGTATACATATACTTTATTTAAAAGACAAAAATATAATGTTATAAAATACAAAATACACATTTAAATATTAACAATTTTTATCCACAGCTGTTTGAGAAATGAAGACGGGCACACACAGTGTGCAGAGCTATGGCGTACTCTTATATAAAATTCCAACTGCCAAGGGATCTTTCACACACACACACACTTGAGTTTACACTGTACCTTGGTTTTTTTGTCCCTTCCGTATGACTAGTCAGCCATCCATGTCAGGTCCTCTGTCCGGCATCACTGACACGGGAAAATGTTCAAGAAAAAGGTCTACATTAGCGCTATGAAAGTGTTGATATGCATATAAGAAAGAAAAAACTGGGATATTGACCAAATTGGGCCAAAACCTATAGCCTCTATCTTATTTGCTCAAGGTATTGATGGAATAGGAGTTAACTTTGGAATGAGTGAAATGAAATGGGGTTTAATGTCCTATTCCGACAGGGCTAATGACATGGAAATATGCTATACAATGTCCTATTATATCGAATTCAAACTGCCAAGGGATCTTTCACGTGCACACCAATGTGTGCACAGGACCTCGGTCATTCGTACCATCCAAACGACTAGACTATGGAGAATTAACCAAGGAAGGCAAAGTCCTGAAAAGCTGTATATTGATAATGCTTGTCCTCTCACAATCGGAATGATTCACATTTCACACCCAGTGTACGGACAAACAGGGCCAAAATTGATATGTGGGTGTATAAACAAAGATATATACTACACCAATATTACATGTGTTGCAGAATTGGTTTAACACATTTCAAATATAATTGTAACACGGATATTTGCAATGGTTGATCCATGACAAAAGATTTGAAATATTTTGAAGAGACGCAAAAGGTTACGCCATACAGTGTGCTATGAGGGAAATTTTGCCCGGGCAGCAGCGCTATGGCCTACTCTTGTATCGAATTCCAACTGCCAGGGGATCTTTTATGTGCACGCCAATGTGTACACTGGACCTTGTTTTTTTTTTGTCCCATCCAAACGACTAGACAGCTGTCCTCGTCAGGCCCTCCGTCCTGCATCACTGACAATGGGAAACCACACCGGAAAATAAGGATGAACTTTCTCGGCCAATGCAGGGATCGAACACCCGACCTCAAGGCTAGCGAGTCAGCGTCTTACCCACTTAGCCACATGATCCCCCCTTGGCCTCTGTACATGTAGAGATGAATTTTGAGCTACCTTTATATATATATTTCTATTTTGAAAACCCGCGACAAGTATATTTATATCAAGGATGTAACCCTCTATCAGTTGACCCGTCACGGATTGGTTGCATTGGTGAACCGGTTCAAAATATTCGTTTCATATCATACCTGACCTTCAAATCCAGGAATTGTAGCCACAACGGGGATCACGTTGGTTAAGTCGGTAAGACACTGGCTATCTAGTCTGGAGGTCGGGTGTTCGATCCCTGCATTGGCCGAGAAAGTTACTCCAGATTTTCTGGCGTGGTTCTCCCTTGTCAGTGATGCAGGACAGAGGGCTAGACAAGACAGCTGTCTAGTCATTAAAATGGGACAAAAAAATGAGGTCCCATGTACACATTGGCGTGCACGTACAAGAGCCCTTGAAGTTAGAATTCGATATAAGAGAAGGCCGTAGTGCCACTGTCCGGGCAAAATTTCCCACATAGCACACTGTATGGCGTATGCCCATCTTCATTAGCCCAGTTCAGAGCAAAACAGTAGGACGTTTAACTTTCATTTCACTAGCCACAGCTCTGTTTTCTTTCACCAAAGGGGGTGGGGGGTGGATGGCTGAATGGTTAGCGTGCGCGCGCTGTATCATAAAATCTGTCATTGAGTCGAATGGCGTGATTCGAAACCCCGGTTGTACGTGGCAAGGAGTAGGGTCGCGTGTCCAACCTCGTGGGTTTTCTCCGGGTCCTCCGGTTTCCTCCCACTGCTAAAGACCCCTACGCGCAAGCGAATTATGTAAATAAAAAATTAAACCATTTGTTAGTCCCTAAATGACCTAGTTTGTGTCGAGTGGACGGTAAACCCCATTTCTCTCTCTCTCTCTCTTTCACCAAAGGGGGGGGATCAAGTGGCTAAGTGGGTAAGACGCTGGCTCGCTAGCCTGGAGATCGGGTGTTCGATCCCTGTATTGGCCGAGAAAGTTCATCCTGATTTTCCGGCGTGGTTTCCCTTGTCAGTGATGCAGGACGGAGGGACTGACAGGGGGACAGCTGTCTAGTCGTTATGGGACGAAAAACCGAGGTCCCGTGTAGACATTGGCGTGCACGTAAAAGATCCCTTGGCAGTTGGAATTCGATATAAGAGTAGGCCGTAGCCCCGCTGACCAGGCAAAATTTCCCTCATAGCACACTGTATGGCATATTCTCGTCTTCATAAGCCCAGGTTAAGAGCAGAACAGTAGGACGTTAAACCCCATTTCATTTTATTTCATTTCTTTCACCAAAGACCACATAAATACTTCATTTAGCACTTGTCATTTGAAACAGTTATAGCCTATGTCTTGTCTGGAAGAGGGGGCATCATCACATTACCATACAGGGTATAAGTCGATGTTGAGTATAAGTCAAATTGCCAAATTTTACATTTTTCCGACCTACTTCCATAATTAAGTAGAGGCGGTATATAAGACTAATGTTTTTCAACTCCATGAGTTTCGGGACTGTTATCCTAGTCTAATACCGTGCCGGTGTACGCCGAAGAAAAGTTGGGCCATATAAATAATGAGGGTCTGGGACAGTTGTCAATAACACTTGCATTTATAAACAAACATGAATCGTGATGACGAATTAGGATTCAATAAAAAAAAACAACATAGATATGGCCCATGATGAGAGAAATTTTACAATAAAAAAAATTAAGAGTGTTGGATATTGAACTGACAATGCAATCAAATGGATTTTCGGAAATGGCATTCTTATATAAATTTCATGGGCGTCAACATCTTGTTTTAGGACTAGTTACCTCCCTTAGACTTTGTTTATGATAATGTAAAAGACCGGATAATCTAGCCTATGACCGATTATTCTCAAATGTTGACAACGCAACCACACTAATATTCGTAGAATATAGAATATTTTTTTCTAGATGATAGAGACTAATAATATGCCAACATTGAAATGTGTGCATAAATATGGTATATACTTAACTACACCAATATTATACATATGTCATAGAATTTGTTACACACATTACAAATATAATCTTAATAGAGATCTTTGCTATGGTTGATCTATCAGTAAAAATTGGAAGATTTGTAAGGAACGCAAAAGGTTATTGTTTACTGGCTGCAGCAGGGAGCAATAACAGGAACACAGATGATTTTCAACTCACTGATACAACTCAGTTTAAACTTTAAGCTAAAGAGCTGTTATATAATACTGTGACAGGATATCTGCTCTAAACTAACTAGTCATCAAAGAATTGACTGTCAAAAGTTCAGACAGGAAGTATTTTAGGCCTACAATGCTTGTAAAGCTTTGGCCTACATTCTGATGATATTTGTGCTACCATAGATACACATATATTTATATCATTACATTATGTGACAAGTAGTAGTGTTTATCAA